GTGTGTCTGCTTCTATATGTGTGTGTCGGTGTGTCTGCTTATATATATATGTGTGTGTGTGTGTGTGTGTGTGTGTGTGTGTGTGTGTGTGTGTGTGTGTGTGTGTGTGTGTGTGTGTGTGTGTGTGTGTGTGCGTGTGCGTGTGTAAACAGAAAACAGCCACACGTCATTCTGAGATACAAGGAATAATATTTATCTTTCTTTACAACATGTGCAGAATATATTACAACGATATAGAGATGACAATACGTCACATATACATCTTTACAATAACAACAAGAACAACAACAAGAACACATCTGGGAGTGAAAGAAGCTAACGAGCAGAAAGCATTTAGGTGTGTGTGTGTGTGTGTGTGTGCGTGTGTGTGTGTGTGTGTGTGTGTGTGTAATGCTATTTATATTAAACAAAGTGCAGTTTGAATGACTTTTCATATATTGAACATTTGTTATTACTCTTTTCCATTAAAGCCAAAGTGAAACTAGTGTACAGTACACAATGTAAATACGCTCACATCAACTTTAAAATTACTTTAGTATGATTATTAAAATACTTAGTTCAGGACATTCAATTTACAAACTCATATACAACCCCCATTAGAGCTCATAGCAAGGAAATTCATCTGCAATCATTTTTAAATGAATTTAAGTGTTAGGGTTTCTTAAATCATTTTTTAATATCATTTTCTTGAAATAAACTAAATATTTTTGGCGTTTGAACTGATGGGAAAGAACTAAAGGATTTTAATCTGTAATCTTGTTTTTTGGAAATTATTTAAGTGCTTTTTCAACATTTTAAATGTTTAAAAAATGGCAAAATGGGAGATAATGAAAACTGCAGTCCTAGTAGATTTTTGTGACTGTGCCGTAATACATTCATGTGTAAAATGCTTCAAATTTGAAGGAATATATTTGAGAAATCTGTCATATAATGGTCACATGAGGGCAATCAAACCTGTTTAAATACTCTTTATGAGAGCGACCGGCACTGGCAGCAACCTGACATGGAAACTTGAGATAAGACTCTTTACATTTCACACAATGTAAGATTTGATCTGAAGACTGTCAACACTAGCATAATGTTGCAGGAATTCACGGAAATTAGTTAACATTTTATGCACTTCTCAATTCCTCATCTTATAGAAAATGGGTTAAATCCTGAAATAAGTTCTGTGGACATAAAATACGTCAGTAAATACCCAACTGGTGAATTTAAAATGTGAACAAGTGTCTAAATGAGACGACTAAACGTCATCATGCACAACATTAGCCACCTTTAGCTTAGCGGTGTTGACGTGAAGTCATGTGACCGTGCTGTAGTTCCTTTATAGCCCAACATTAGCCGCCTTTAGCTTAGCGGTGGTGACGTGAAGTCATGTGACCGTGCTGTGGTTCCTTTATAGCCCAACATTAGCCGCCTTTAGCTTAGCGGTGGTGACGTGAAGTCATGTGACCGTGCTGTAGTTCCTTTATAGCCCAACATTAGCCGCCTTTAGCTTAGCGGTGGTGACGTGAAGTCATGTGACCGTGCTGTGGTTCCTTTATAGCCCAACATTAGCCGCCTTTAGCTTAGCGGTGGTGACGTGAAGTCATGTGACCGTGCTGTAGTTCCTTTATAGCCCAACATTAGCCACTTTTAGCTTAGCGGTGTTGACGTGAAGTCATGTGACCGTGCTGTAGTTCCTTTATAGCCCAGCATTAGCCACCTTTAGCTTTTTACTTCAATAATCATGAAGTGGAGATTAAAGTTTATTTTCATCCAATATTCAAAAAGCCAATGGAAAATCCCGTTGGCTTTTTAAAGGGAATGTCGGTAGTGCTACCTTCAGGGTAAGCCTATAAAAATACGACATCCCAGCACCTCTCTACTTACACAGACCATAACAGGCCAGATCCATCAGTCATCACGCTCTGACAGTATCCACGATAAGCTGGTAATGTGGGGAAAGCTTTGTTTTATCACGTTTACTCAGTGACTGTAATCTCAAAATCTAAAGCTAACAACCCGGCAGCAGCAGGGTTTACGGGGTATTAAAGGATGTTTGTTGATGTTCGAACGCCAATTTTTCTCCATGCATCACAAAATGAATCTCAGTGTGGACAGATGCTCATATTCAGGAGATGATAAATGAAGAAACACGCTAATAGCTGTCAGTGAAAGAAAAAAAACAACAGACTTAAAAGAGTTATTAAAGCTGCAGCTAAACAAAGAAACACTGTACATTTTGCCACAGAATAAACTTTTCCACTCTGTTTTAGTCCAAAGAAAACAGACTGTAGGTGTGACCGCACACTAACATGAGTTCATACCTTCCTAGTGCTACAAACCAGCAGAAAAGTACTTTATTTGGGTTGCAAAATGTATCAAAATGTTACCGAAATCGCAGTATTGACTAGTGAAATATCCACATTTTGGTAAAAGCAAAAATTGAAATACCTGGATGAAGTATTGTGAAGCTACAAGTATTCTACAGAATTAATAAAGGATCCTTATTTGGTCCTGATCCTCAAAAAAACAAACATATTTTTACATATTTTACAATGATTATGATCGTAATGGTTCAAAGAAAGTCAATCTCTCTTACATCTGAAATTGCAATATCCATCAAATGAATAGTAATTTGTTATTTTTTTCAAACCGTGCAGCCCTATCATACTCGAGAGAAGTTGAATTACTTATTAATGTAAGAGTGCGGACGAGACCAACATGCTAATAGCCCCCAAAATGACTAATAAGAGTTAAACAAACACCATTAATTTCCCACACTGGAACATACCAAAGAAAACAGGCTGTGGGTGACATGAGAAACTTTCTTTCAAACCAACAGAAAAGTCTCATGTTTTCTGGTTAGCTATAAGTCCAGATCCTCTCACCATGATCATTTGACCATATTCTTTTAAATGATAATGTTAATACTGTCTCAAAAACGATAATTTCCTCTTTATATCTTGAATCATGCAGCCCTATCATACTCTAGAGAAGTTATATAACCAGAGACCAACATACTAATAGCCCCAAACAATCTCCAAGAGTTTCTAAAACGGCAACTCAACAAACACCAAACAACGTTATATTCCCATTGAATACGGCCGCTCTGAGGCTAAACTTCGCTCATTGATGTGACGCGTATAAATAATAAAGTCTGTACTGAACTCAACGTTTTAAGGATATTTAATATTGTAAATCAAAACAATAAACAAACAGAATCATACGGTCAACAAAAGATATCTAAGCTAACCCCCATTGTCACGCCACTAAACCTCCACACACACCAGAGGCCTGTACTACGAAGCTGGTTCAACCTAACCTGGATATGTTGGAGTTAGCCGGTTGGCCTAAGCCAAAAACATACGCGCTGGCGCTAAGCTGTACTACGACGCTGGTTATCAAGTGGATCGCTCAAGCCAGCCGTGTCCTATCTAGTTAGGTGCGCGTTCACATGAAAGGGGTGGTATTTGGAGCATTCGACCAATCTCAAACATGGACAAGCGTACTGACAGCGCAGCGTCATACTTCCTGAATGAAAAGTGAACTTTAATATTAGTCAAATATGAAGAAGTTAAACTTTAAACATCCATGACTTAAACACTTTATCCAGGATCAAAGCCACATAGCTGCACCTGCAAGGTGAATACAGCTGGTAAAAGAAAAAGTGTTTGAATGCGTACATTAACAGGTTTATGAAATCACTGCCCCGTCCAAGACACGAGTGGATCTGACTTTAATTACATTTGACTCGAGTGTTTCGTCAACTTAATGTGTTGCTTAAAATAATACTTCTGCATACAGTATGTGACACTGTGAGTGTTGCACGGCCAGATACGGCTCAGCTGACTCAAATAAGGAAATATATGATACATTATGATGTGATATGATATGAATGATAATGGGACACATCGACGTCTGCACTCACAGTGCCGCAGACTGTACTTAATGTTACTCTGATCCGGTTACTTATGTCGTGGCAGATATTTAAGTAAGCTTTCTTAACGCTAATGTTATAATAGTCAGATTGCTCTGAAGATGGGAGGGGATATTCTATTCATTTTCACGTTCACACAGTCAGTTGATTTTTGCCGGCCGTCTTTCCTGCAACGGCAGTTTTTCTGTATTTCCTCTATCCTGTAATATGAATTGATCGCTTTAAACTCCGCACACGGAGCTCTGATTGGTCAGCAGGCAGTGCTTTCACTGAGTTGATCTCTTAGCCTGCAACCTAACCTCCTCCCGAGGAGGTTTGCCGCTCAGCATAAGTTACCATGGAAATCTAGCCCGCTAAAAAGAGAACCAGCGTCGTAGGACCGGAAAGCCCGAGATTTCCCTGAATTTAGCCGGCTAAGCGAAAATCCAGCTTCGTAGTACAGGCCTCAGGTGCCCTAAATAACATTAACCACACCATGTGACAATCACATTAGCCCAGCGCACAAACGGAGAGAGACTAACTTATGGCAACACAAAAGAAAACATGGGAGCGGTGGAGATGAGGAGGTGTCTGCGTTTCTGGCGATTTACTCGGAAGGCCCCAGTCCCCAACTCCGGGGACTTCCGGCCGGGGACTTTGGGTGGCAGTATACGCCGTGAAGTTGTTTGGGGCCTGCCAGTAAACCCAAAGCAGAAGAAGAAGAAGTGACGTCAGTGGCTTCATTTGCCTAATCCTTCCCCAGGAACTTATTCAGGTGTGAACGCGATCGGCTCTCAATATCAGAACTAAAGAGTTCTGATGAACTAAGTTCTGATGAACTAAGTACGGCAAAGTACTTGGTGTGAAAGCGCCTATTGAGTTCTTTGTAACCAAATCTCTCTCAGAGGGGCGTGGGGAGGGGCTCCTTATTTTCATCTAAAGTAACAGACAGAGAATCAGCACTTTGGAAACAGGGCTGAAACAGAGGGGATTATGGGATGCTGCAATGATCTGTTTGGTGTTTCAGCCAATCAGAGACAGGTTCTGTATATATCTGAGACCTGTGACATATTGATGAAAAACAGTATAATAGGGGACCTTTAATAATAATGAAGATAATATAACTATAAACACAGGCTACCACAGCATGTTGGCTCCTACAGTGAGATCACACCTTCCTACTGCGACAAACCAGCAGAGAAGTTCATATCTTTCTCTCATTCTCAGTAAATCAAACACACGTAGTTGGTGTTTCCGGTGGTCAGGATGCAGACTGGACCTGGGGGCAGTTTTTTGGGGGTGTGTTGAGGTCTCTGAAGGGCTCTGAGAGGCGGGACCCCTGCAGGCGGGACAGCAGAGTTGTTCTCCGGCTGCTACTGTCCGAGTCTTGGTGTCCTAACTTCCTGCGGAGAGGACGGCAACACGGGAAACTGCGGGTGAAGTCTGAGAGCAGGTGACCGCTGAAGATCATGTAGATCCAGGGGTTGCAGCAGCTGTTGAGGCTGGCCAGCAGAGCGGCCACCGTCACCGCCTTGTTCTCCGAATCTACGGGGGAAACACACATTTAGTCAAAAGTCAAAGTCAACTTTATTGTCAATCTTTCAGTTTGTGTGTACAGACAAAGACATCGAAAAATACCGTTTCCCACAACCCCGAATACAAATATATATAAAAATATGTATATCCTCAACAGACACATTTATACATATGCACACATTAAGACATAAATGCAAAACAATCAATATGTACAAAATAACAGTCACTTCAATATTTATGAGGCACAGATGTCAGCAGCTTATCGGAGGTGTTTACTCTTCCTCTGGAGATCTGATAGGGTTGCATGATTCAGAACAGAACTAGTTTGCAATACTTTTTGACAGATATTGCAACCCTATCATACTCTAAAGCTAGTAGGGGCTTTACAGTACAGACAAATGAAGCTCAGCGCAAGTTCAATCAGGAAGACCAAGCTCTTCATTCAGATTACACGTCACCACATTACACTCTCCTTCCTCATTAAGTGATCGGGGGCGTCACTCCCCAGCTAACCAATCTCTCCTCTCTCCATTCTCACAAGCCTATCATAGCTCCCGCTAATCCCTTTATATCTGCTCTTCCCTCTGTCAGCTGTCATTTCAGGTGGCAAAACGCAACCCTCCTCCACCCCTTTGCCTCCCGTCTCCTCCAGGACCAAGCTAAACCTTCTCCCTTCAGTCCGTTCCCACCTACTTATCACCACCACCAGTGTCTAGACCCCGGGGGGTTTCATCGGAGTGGTTCCTCCCCCTCCTGAATGATTATCCTGCAAACTGGGGCCTAATCGCCAAACACCATTTCATTCTCCTGTTATAATTGTGGCAATCATTATTTCATTCATATCATGTGTCCCGGTAATAAATATGTATTCCATACATCAACGTCTCTCCTGATTGAATTACCGAAATTGCATCGCATAGCTTAGTTACAATTCAGAAAATAACTGAAATCGCAATAGTGTCAAGTGTAGAATCCAAATCGTAAACTTTTCATATTTGGAAGGGACCAAAGAAATACACAGATTTATGAGCCACTCTCGCAATGTCAGCAGCTTATCGGAGGTGCTTACTCTTCCTCTGGATAGGGTTGCAAGATTCAGAAAATACCTAGTTGCAATTATTTTTGACAGTTTTACAATTGCAATAGTTTCAAGTGCAGAAACAGGGTGTCTGCGGGGTCTTAAAAAGTATTAAAAGTTGTTAAATCAATTTAGCGAAAATTAAGGCTATTAAAAAGTATTAAAGGGCATTTTCCAAGGTATTACATTTTGTAGCTTGTTTCCAATAAGTATATCAATTGTCCAAAGAGGTTGTATTCTACAGTCTGCCTGAATGTAATCATTGCGTAGGTGTGTAGTGTGATTCTGTGTAGTTTATTTATGGCATCCCGTTGGATTGGACGTCATCTGAACAGGACATCGCACGCTCACTGCTTGATAGCGCGCGAAGGTCCGTTTACGCCGGTTGTTAAACAACATCGTTATGGGGAAATGCAAGTCTGCGTCCAAATGGTTGGAAGATAAGGAGGAAGGACAATCAATACTGTATATAGTGAATGTGAGGTAAAGTGTGTCGCCAATGTAACCGGTTAGAACTGGTCTTAAAATGTATGGAAAGGGTCTTGAAAAAGGTCTTAAAAGGTGTTACATTTGACTTCAGGATTCCTGCATATACCCTGAGAAACCAAATCGTAAACTTTTCATATTTGGAACGGACCAAAGAAAGTAGACTGTAGGTGTGACCGGGGAGAAACTCTGATTTATGAGGCACAGTGGCAGATGTCGGCAGCTTATCGGAGGTGTTTACTCTTCCTCTGGAGGGAGTTGAGCAGCTAAATGTTTATCCACCCCTCCACACCGCAGCGGGAGCCTCTTGTGTAATCGGGGAATTTACATTTCTCGACTTCTAGCAATGAGGATTTCATCCTGTTGCAGGAAAAAACAATTCTCTCTGTGTGAAATTAAACCACACACCATGCTTGTTTACAACATATTAAGTCATTGCTGATCTAATAGAGGAAACCATAAAGCGTATATTTGCAACACTAAATGGAAACGCTATTAACTGCCGATATAAATGATATCCTGTGCAGCAGTCAATGATTTCCATTACAGATTAATTTGACAATCATGTTCACAAAGCTCTTCTCTAAACTGTGACTGTGGCGTATTACTATACTGGGTAAAAGCTCTGACTGCATACAGAGTTAAGGTTTATGTAAGCAGCTCTTTATTGGATTTGGGGAAGTTTACACTCCAGTAACCCCCGTGATAGTAATTTTGAGAGGTATCTTCACACTGAGTCGCAGTATCTCTCTACCTCCGGTGATTTCAATGAGTGGAAGTCAGCAGCGGGGCGACGTTTCAATCAAGATGAGAGCGGCTGGAGGTGGGAACGTGCGCAGAATTGATATTTACCGTGTGAAGAACTACTGGTGTTTCCTGTCTGGCTTTGGCCAGACAGAGAGTGAGCCTTTAGGCTTGTTTGAGATGAGCTGCGGCTCGCCTCGAAAGTAGACGAGAATAGCCGATTGCAGCCGGGGGAGGTCTCAAAAAGCTCGCCTGAAGTCGGACAGCTCGGAGTCGGCTTGACTCGGTTTGCAATGGCGGAAATTGCGTTGGCGTTCTTCGTTGCAGATGAAGTGGATGCAATAGAAATCCCACAATTATGATATCACTACAAATGAATGACTCAAGTGTCTGTTCATTTTAAAACAAATCAATACAAGGGGGTTGAATCCTACATGTAAAAGACAGAACCACTTAATACTTTTCAAAACTACTTCCGTCAGTGGTCTTGACCAGTTTGCATTTATAAAGAATGCACAAATGTTTTAATCGTTAATGTCAGATATGTACTAAGTAAATACATTTGTTCCTGCTCAAGATTAGATTCAACTTTATTGTTATTGCACAGATTACAGGTACTGAGACAACGAAATGCAGTTTAGCTTCTAACCAGGAGTGCAACAAGCAGTAAAGTGAAAAGTAATGTACACAATCTACAGAATAAAATATAGAATGAATTGAATGATGAATAAACAGTGAGGGGTATGAATACACTATATACACAGCAGCCTGTGAGCAGTATGAACAGTGTGAACAGTGTGTATGAATATATATCAATATGCTAAGATATATAAAGTATGAAAACGGTAAGCAGGGCAAGTATAGTATAAAATATATAGATATTAATTTAATGATGATAAACATTGTGGAACAATGATGAAAAATGTGAATGGAAGTGGCGACGTAAAACTGACACAAAACCACAACAAGCTTTTGCCGAGCCAATGGAGAGTTTCATCACCAGCACGGGGTAAAACCCACCAATGAGCGCTCAGCTCGAGATACCAGCGAGTCGTTTCCCATCAAGCATTTCGCTTCTGCAGCTCGTGGAGAGAAACTGCGCCGCCTCGCTCTCAAGGCTGCCGGCGTCTTTGTCCCGCGAGATTTCAACGTCTCATGTAGGCGAGCCTCCAGAGCAAGTCGGACAAAATGACTAACCATCATGCAACGCACTAGCAAGACGGCGATCGCAATTGCGCAGGTCTGTGTCGGTCTCGCTCATCTCAAACAAGCCTTTTAGCTTAGCGGTGGTGACGTGAAGTCATGTGACCGTGCTGTAGTTCCTTTATAGCCCAACATTAGCCACCTTTAGCTTAGCGGTGGTGACGTGAAGTCATGTGACCGTGCTGTAGTTCCTTTATAGCCCAACATTAGCCACCTTTAGCTTAGCGGTGGTGACGTGAAGTCATGTGACCGTGCTGTAGTTCCTTTATAGCCCAACATTAGCCACCTTTAGCTTAGCGGTGGTGACGTGAAGTCATGTGACCGTGCTGTAGTTCGTTTATAGCCCAACATTAGCCACCTTTAGCTTAGCGGTGGTGACGTTAAGTCATGTGACCGTGCTGTAGTTCCTTTATAGCCCAACATTAGTGTTGTACTTCTGCTGATGGCATTTACGCTTAAAAAACACAACCTTTAAACAATGCTCTCTTTTCTGGAGAACTCCTCTTCAGGGTGAATGTATTTCAAGATAATTCAAACAAAGTCGGTGAGCTCAGAGAAACACACCAAGATGTTCTGCTCATACTTTTCAATTTTCGTATTTAAGCTGACATTCAACATCAGCTTTAATTTAAACGTTTTCATGCCAGCAAATTGAATTCCTGTGAGGTTGAAATCCCTGAAAGCAGCACCCAGTAAACTCTGCGTTACTATCTCATAATGAAATTCTCCAGGTGGCTGAGCAGCACATCCTTCACTCAGGTTATTACACACTCTGAAGGCTGCTAAATAAAATCCCTCTGCTGACCTCCATCAAATGGAAACCCTGGTACACTGACTGCACACATATTTGGTTTCATCATTGGATTAAAGATGTTTGCAAACCATCAAAAATATCTAAACTGCAGGGCACAAACTGTTATGTGCTGTTTACACGAGAACGGTTGTATCCGCTACTTTTCTCTTTCGTATAGCCCGTTCGTTCACACATAACGGAAACGCGGAAACCGACCCCGCAAACGATAACGGGTCCCAAGGGGGATAGATCTGCAAAC